CCCCGGGCCCAGCGCCCCGCACCAGCAGCGGCCGCAGGCTTCTCGCGCAGGTGAGCCAGGCGGCGCGCAGGAGGGTCCAGAGGCGCCTCAAATCTTCCAAGAGGCTGGAACGCACGGGGATTGAAGGGCCGATAGCCACCTCTCTGGAAGCCCCCCTGCGTGTCCAACCCCTCTAGGGTACAGGCTGAGCCGTGGGGCGCGACTGGACGCCTGCCGCCGTGTCCCACCTGTCTGGACGCAGAGCCAGAGGAGCAGGACGCAGAGAAAATCCCAGGCGCGGCGAGCGCCTCTCATCGCGGTGGCTGCGCTGGGATCCGAGCTCTGTTCCACGTTCCAGCTCTCGCCCAAGTGCACCGAGCGCGGCAAAGCCGAGCCCCCAGAGCCGAGAGCGCCGAGCAGCAGCCCCTCCTCCCAGCGCCCTCCCCCTGCGCGCCGGCCACGCCCCTCCTCGGCGCCCCTCCTCGCCTCCCCTCCCTCCCTCCTTCCAGCTTGGGTCTCGCTCCTTCCCGGCGGCGTCTGGCCTCGGCTCGCTCGACGTGCTAATGCGAGGGGTTGTCCCTGCCCGGAGTGAGAAGGGGCCGCCGGCACTCGCCCCCCGCCCTCTACTCTGGAGACCGTTGGTCGCTCCAGCTCGCCTCGGCTGCGATGTGGTCGGCCCGCCCGAGGCGGCTCCCGGGCCGGGGTGGTGCTGGCCGCGCCGCGCGCTTTGTGAAGACCGCACCGCGCACATTAGGGCAAGGCCAGCCACCTGGCAGGTGCTCCCTAGACAATGAAGAAGGTTGGCCGCCCGGCGGAGCACGCTCGGGAGCGAGCAGGCCGGACGCCGCTGGGGTGGCGATCATGCAGGGCACAGGCGTGGGGGGAGATTGGGCCCCGACGTTCTAGACCATTTCTGTTAGTCAAGGGGGAACCACACCGCGGTAAAAGGCGGAGCTGGGGGTTAAGTAATTCCTTGCGCTCTGTTCTCCACCTGCTCCGTAACCTGTGAGAACGCAGGTGTTTCTATTGGTCTGCGCGGGCCCCCTAAGAACAAGCTAGGCTGAGACTTTCTGGCGACTGGGGCGATGGAGTGGGGAGGGGCGCCTTGCAAAGTTAGTTAGCTCGGGGAGCTCGGGTTTTTATACATGTTCGCCTCTGGGTGCCTTTTTTTCTTCTTCCTCCTCTATGGTTTCTTGGCCCCTGTATCAGACAGCAGTTACAAGGCTGGAGATCTCTGCGTTCCTCGCAGCTCCCAGCCCGTACTAGGTGCAGAGTAGAGTAAAATGGTTCTCCTAAGCCGGGTTCCACTGTCTCCTCAGGGCACACTGTTTTGCACACGTGCTCAGAGTGGCACTCTTGGACGGAAGGTAACAATAGTATCTATACAGAGTTTTATTCTTCCCACGCTGAATATAGTTTCATGCTCACAATAACAGCTTGGTGAGGTACGCAGAGAAGATAGGATTATTATTTTAGTTCTAAGAGTAGTCCAAGATCGCATAGAGAAGAGGGGAGACCTGGGGTTTGAAGCCTCGTTTGAAGACCTCCTCCAGCTAGGATGAGCTTGTCCCTACGCATTTTGTTAAACCAATGAAACATCCCTCCAGTGATCTTAAGATCTTTCTAATGGAAAGTAAGTGGGAGGTGCCGGTCAGAACAAGCCACAGAATAATTTAGACACACCTAACTCTCCTCTAAAGTATCATCCAAAATGTATAATTCCCTGACTCCTTTACTTCATTTCATATTGAAAATGCTTCTGTTTGATAGTGACAGGGTCTAGGTCGTTTAAAAAAAAAAAAAGATTTCTAAAAGTAAGTACTTAAAAGTTCATACTACTAGAACATGATCAAATGATCAATGTGCACAATTGCCTTCCTTTAAGTGTATGCATTTATTCACCAATGAGCATTTATTGTCTACGGTGAACCAGTAGGAGCTAGACTCCAGGAATACTATTTTTTTAAGGATTATTTTATTTAAATTTATTTATTTTAATTTGACCCCAGGGGTCAGAGCAAGAGTAGGAGGGACAAGCCACCAGATCCAGGACTCGAACCACAGTTGGTCATGTGGGTGTCCCCCAGTGCCCCCAACCACAACGCCACCTGCCAGTCCCAAACTCCAGGAATACTATTAATAGATGAATTCTTATAAATTATGCTTTTTAAAGTTTGTTTTTATCAGTGTTTTAGTGGGTTTCCCTTACTGTCACAGGGAAACCCACACCCCAGTGTCCTAGCCTAGGCTCCACGCCGATGGCTGTGGGAGAACTGTAATCCACAAGCTCTCTGTGCCCTGAGTCATCAGACCACATGTTTTTTTCTTGGAATGTCAGAGATAAAAGATAGCACTGACAGCAATCATAAGTTTCTGGGATCTTGATTTATTTCTAAAATCCATTTTGTATTGAGAAAAAAAGAAATCCCTGAGTTAAAAGATCAACATTATGCCTGAGAAAATTTACAATTTTCCTCTTGATTCAACTGCTATTGGAGAGGATACTGTCTTCAGAAGAGTGGGTGAAAAAAGACCATATTGCAATTTAATTCTAGGCAAGAAATTCTATCAAAAATAATAATAAAAGAAAAACAGAATAGAGAGTTAGATGATGCCCACTGCCATTCCTATTCATCATTTGAGAAATGTGTACTGAGCATTATGTAGGTGCAAGATCTATAAAAGTGGAAAATACAAAGTCCTTGCCAAGGGGAATTCACAGTCCAGCAGAGGAATCAGGCACCCAAATAAGAAACAATACTAGGGGCCAGCAGATGGCATAATGGTTATGTCCCTGAACTCCCACAGAGTCGACCACAGTTTGAGTCCCAGAGCCAGTGGCTTAAAACTCATGCTGGGTGAGTGTGTATGCATGCTCAAGATCTCTCGAAGAGAATGGAGGAGAAGGGATTGCAGTATGGCCATCCTAGGGGGGATTTCTCACCTCTTAAAAAAAAAAATAGAAAAAGAAACAATAATAGCTGCTACCAGAACGGAGCCCCTATCCTGCCAGTACACACCGATTGAGCCATACTGGTTGGCAGAATATTAACCGTTATCGATTAGAAAGTATCGTCTAGGGGCCAGCACGTGGCATGGTGGTTAAGGCACTGGTTTCCCACACGGTTGATGGTGATTCCCACAGGGCCAGGCCTGGTGGCTTGAAAATCACACCCGGCATATGTGCCTGCTTGCCCAGAATCCCAGGAGGAGACTGGAAGAGAAGGGATCGGGGCATAGCCATCCCCAGTAGGGGGTGATTTCTCACTTTCCCTCTCGCTGTCTCTGACTCTTTCTGGCCAGCAAACACACTATGGCAAAAACCTAAAAATAAATTAATTATATATATATATATATATATAAAGAAAAGAACCAGCATCTCCTCAGTGCTCCCTTACTCCAGCCCATCCTTGAGACATGGCAAATCTCCTTAGATCCAGCGATTAAAGATAGAATACCGGGCACAGCAGAGAGCCTTGAGGAGCTGTGCCTAACAGAAAATACCTGCGTTTGGGTGGTTTATAAGAATGGAGGTTTCCATTCACAGTTTGCAGGTCTAGGGGCCAAATGCAGGGAGAGTATTCCTGCTGGTGCTCATCCCACCAGGATTTGATCTTGGGGCCCCGTCCTGATGCCTCGTCACTTCCCGAAGACCCCACCTTTCAACAGCATCACCGGATGGTTTTCTCATACCTTCATCATATCACCAAAGTCCCACACATGGACTTCTGGAGGACACATTCAAATCATAGCAAGTGCCAAGGGAAGCCGAGCTTTCCTGCCCCGTGAGCATCTGTAAAGTGCAGACGCCCAGTCCCACTGTCCTGGCTTCAGTCACATGCCCACGACGCACTGCAGCCAGGAGCATGGGATAGGACAGCCAGTCAGACCAGTCACTCACCTACCCTTGGAGCCAGGGTGAGGACCTGCCTTATCCTTCCACATGGCCTAAGATGGAAAGTGGCATGTCCTCAGAGAAAAAATAGAGGTGCTTTCACCAGGAGGAGGAGGAATGGTGTTGTGCAGATAGAAGGTACTTACTAGTCTCACACAGCTAAAATCTGACTTGAAAAAAACTTTATTCTATTCTGATTATAAAAGTAAAGATGGATATTGTAGAAAATGTGGCAAATAGGGACCAGCAGTTGTGTAATAGCTACGTTGCTGGACTCCCACGTAGTCGACCACGGTTCAAGTCCCAGACCTGGTGGCTTAAACTCACGCTGGGCATGTGTACATGCGTGCCCAAGATCCCGAGAGGAGAATGGAGGAGAAGGGATTGTGGCATGGCCATCCCCCCTGGGGGGTGATTTCTCGCTTTCTGTCTCTCTCTCTCTGTCTTTCTGGTGAGCGCACGCGCCCTATAGCAAAAACCTCTCCAAAAAAAAAAAGAAAGAAAATGTAAAACCATCAAGGCCAGAACAAAAATGGCCCAGGATACAATCATGCAGGTTCATTTTAGTATGTCTCGTTCTAATCCTTTTTTCTCTGCGTATGTGTGAAATTCTTTTTCCTTTATGTAATTTATGATCTTCGTATATTTGCGAGCTTTCTAGCCAGCTTTTCCCACTAAGAACACAAACATTGTTCCGGACTATTAAAAAATTATTTGGAAACACAGTAACATGGTATTCAGCTGTATGGGTGCATCATAATTCTGGATGTTTAATCATTTCCTTTTTCTGTTAGGTTTTTACTATCGTAAATGACTTGGTCGATGAATGGCTTGGTGAATGAAACTTGCCTGTCTCTGATTATTTACTTAGAATAGATCCCTAGAGGTGGAACCACTACAGTGAGGGTATACGCCTTTTCAAGTTAGCTTTTCAATAGTCTTCGTTTTTCCCGTAATCATTTGAAAGTCTTTTGTCCATAACATTGAAGAAATACATATATGATCTCACTGTTAGACTCTACTGACAATAAACACCTCATGAGGATGAAAGGCAATGATGCATGGTTTTCGTTCCAGCCTTTCTGAGTGTTTATTGAGCACCTCCTACATGCCAGACGTGTTGTATTAAGTGCTGGGGAGACAAAGGTAGACAAGGCATAGATGCTGCCTTCGTGGGATTTACAGTGAGAGAACAGAGACAGGGGCAAGGGGTCTTCCGAAAGCTCATGGAAATGCATATTATGAAAATACTATGCAAGCCAGCACCACGGCACAGTGGTTAGCGCTGTGCATGAAAAGCTGGATCCCACACGGTCAGCCACGGACAAGTCCTGGTTTGGGGAATACACTGGGTACATGTGCACGTGTGCCAGGGCCGTAACAGGATAGGGAAGTGGAAGGAAAGAGCATTACGGTGTGACCCCACCCCCCTGACAAGTGCTTTCTCTCACTCTCCTCTGTCTCTCTGCCAAGAAAAGAAATTAAATCCAAACATATTTTTTCTTTTTCCTTTCCTTACATTAC